CTATCTGTCTCTCATGCACAGGGACAAACATTAACACAATAACTTTCTTGTTTCAATGTTGTTTTTTAATCCGGATGGTTCGAATCAGCTGATTATTCTACATCGTTACAGACAGAAAATCAATGTAGACCAAATATTTAAACATGATGTGAGCAATATATTTCATACGCCAGTAGTTCCCAAATTTATAGGTATCATTTCCTTAAGAATAAAATATGTCAAATGTCAGATGATTTATTCTTTTTGTGAGCTATAAGATACACTACAAATGTCAAACTTGGTAAGACAGCCAAGCGAATTACATTTAAATAAGTTTTCATGTTCAAACAAAAACAGACGGTAATTTCTTGTGGAGTGAGGCCGTTATGGCTTAGATAACCATGTTTACCAAAAAATAAAAAAAAAAATAAATAAAAAAAAAAGATTATACGATACATATATTTTGTGTGAAAATAGATTTCCGAATATGTTATTTTAGCCAATTAGCTGATTTTACAGAAAATGCTGTTCCTAAGCGTAAAAGATTATATACTATGTCATTTCAATATTCTTTATCTATACATTTATTTACAGATTTATATATTCGTTTATTTGAAGACTGACTGTATTTCGGGTATACTAAGAAATGTAAATATGTACTCGTTTACAGTCAGTACAAGGTAATTGGAGATAATGAATAGAGTAATCATTTATACATGAGAAAGGAAGAGGAATTCCACTTACTTTCCTCTTATCTTTACTCTTAATCTCTCGGTTCCCTTCTTCACTCTCGGCGCGACGGCCCTTCCCGAGCGCCGCCCCTCAGACGTCCATGCCGAGGGTGACCTGGTAGACGGCCTCCTCCTCCCGCCGCACCGTCGCCAGGATCTTCGCCCGGAGGCCCGACGCCTCGGCCTTGCGGTGCTCTTCGGCCTCCAGGAGGTAGGTGAGGCCGTCGAGACCCCGCGTGACGTGGCCGAGGCGGAGGGCGGAGGCGTCGGGGATGTCCCTCAAGGCCACGCTCAGGACGGGTCTGCCGGCGACGTCGTGGTCGAGCATGACGTCCCCTCGGTTGACTTTCCTGCAGCCGACGGAAGGGAGACCCCGCCCCCCGTCCGCGACCGTCACGTCGGGAAGGC